CACCCAGCAGATTTCCTGGACCTGGGCTCCAATGTCCTCCCACAGTTCCCAGACCAGGCAGGTTTCCTGCCTCCCTGCCTCCACCTTGAATGTCCTTCCTGTCCTTCCAATCCCAGCTTGGCTTTAACTCCACTGGAGAACCTTCCCTTAGTCACTTGGGGCTCCCCCTGCATCCTGCACCCACCCCAGTCACAGCTGCTTTCCTGATGTTCTCAGGGGGCTGTGAGGTCTTGGGAATGCTAGCTTTGCCTTTGAACCCCAGCCCCTGGCACAGGCAGGTGCTCAGTAAATCTGGAAGGAAGGGAAAGAGGGAGGAAGGAAAGGGAGCAAAGAAACATCTCTCCTAGGACTGGAGAGGGTCTGGATTGTGAGCACCTGGCACAGGGCTGGGCACTGAGCAAAGCGCATTCCCTTCCTGCTGCTTCCACTTGAGCCTGGCCTCCAGCACCTTCTGCCTCATCTCCATACCCGCAGGCGTGTGTCTGTCCTCCATTTGGATGCAAGGTAATTACACCAGGATGCAGCCATGCCCTTGACTTCATAAGAAGCTAGTGTGTTTGGGAGAAAGGCCTCCATTCTCTGAAATCCCGGACTGTGCAAGCTTGCAAGGGCCTGAACAGGGGTTTCCACACTGAGTACTTTCTGCAAACAAAGTCTTACCTGAGGCCATTATATAAAACAGATGGAAACTAAGCTGCTTGGCTGAAGTGGTGGGTGTTGAAGGCATCTGAGAGAGGGGACCAGAGCCCCCTTTCCTCTGTAGTTCTGGGTTTCAGGGTTGGGGTAGGCCCTGCCAGTGGAATGGGGCAGCAAGGAGAGAGGGAGAGCCCTGAGGAGAGTCCAGTGGCTGACATTTACTAACTGGTAGAGAAGGATTTCAGTGGCTGGGCCGACAAACTCCTCTTTCACAGCAAGAAGTCAATCTACACTAACAAAAATGAAAATGCACCCTTGGAAAAACTCATAATGACTTCAACATTTTAAGGTTCTCACTGTTTCTTTATTTTCCACCCTTAGGGGAAGTATCTCTTGTCTAGAGGAAATATATGAATTCATCAATTCCATCAACTTTTCTTTCTTTTTCTTTTGTGAAATTCAAGTAAAAGTAAATTTAAGATTGTATAAAACACACACACACACACACACACACACACACACACACACACCACATTAAAACATGCAGCAGTGGTTGTCTCTATTAGATCCCACTCAAATCACCAAGCGAGCCCCTAAAAAAACCATACTCATCCTGAAGAATAACTGTAAATTATATCAAGCTCTACCCAGCAGAATCTCTTATTGTAGCTGCTGCATCAGATGCGGTCATTGCTAGAGCAAACTAAGGTGGCCTCAAGTGCATGACATTCATCTATGTATTTAGTCATTGTGCTAATTGCTGTTATGATCAGAAAAAGAGTATAATAAACAACCAGGCTCCACGAGGCAAGGAAAAATGTCCTTATTTATAGCTTTGCCAGCAAGGGCTATATTCACCCATCCCCCTTACCTTTGTGTTATAATTTTGCAATTTCTTGGTATGCCAAAGCCCTAGATATAGGATTTAAAAATTTAAGGCTAACCCTGAGCATTTCTGCCCATGCTTTAACTGGGAAAAGTACAGCTGCAATGAATCTGTCTCAGATATCTGGCCCAATTAGAAATCACTTTTAGGGAATACACATGGTAGGCCTTACCACGACACAGATATCTTTTAGAAGTTTCGGTGTACATCCTGAATTGCAATGCTATTTAGAAACATTTTAGATGGGCAGACTACACCCACACTGTGGTTAAAATCTTATTTCACCATTCTGGAGAGAGCATGATAACCAAGGACAAAACCACACACTCTAAGTTATTGTAGAAGAAATTAAACAGCCCCAGGGAAACAAAAGGTCCTTAAATGCAAAACAGATTAGTAAGGATATAAACCAATATTGAAAAAGTGGAGGTGGGAGGCTAGGGGAAAAAAAGAGGGAAAAATCTTTGGGTTTTTCACAAAGGCTCAAGCACAAAGATGAATCTCCCCAACTGTTGCCAAAAAAATTGCTAGGTCCACAATTAACATGCTCTGGTCAACAGGCTGCCGAAACTGAAACAGATTTGCTCCCCTCCTAGAAAGGGAGTCTGGTATCAACATTTGCCCAGGCATCTGCAAGAAATAACCCTCTTAGCCAGTGGTCATCCAACCTCGATTATAAGACATCCAGTTGACAACTGGAAAAGCAGCCCCCCTGTTTAAGATATAGGAAATAGGGACTCAGACCCATTAAGGATGAAGGTCCAAATCACTCGACCACATACCAGTAAGCCACCTGCAAGTGCTGGCCATTAGAGCTTTATACACGAAGGACTAATTGCAGTGTGACAGACTGATTCTCTTCTTCTTCATCCCTGCTCCATTTCTGTGTGGCTACCTTCATCTGGACTCTGTATTTTCACAAAGAAACTTAATATGAAGCCTGAGGCATCCAAACGGCACAAATACAAGACTCTACTTATCAGACTCTGTCCTAGTGCACTATTTCTGAAGTGATTGCTTCCTGTTTCCTTTGACCTAAATGTGTGTCTTTGTACACACATATCAGACAATGAGTTCTATTCTGTAACTTATAGGTAGGCTGTGATTAGTCAATTCCTTAGATTTTAATTGTGAGATACTATGACTTCAATAACCACATGCCTAAGTGATATAGGCTGCAAGGAAACAAAGCTTGATCAGGTGCATGTAATTGAGTAGGATCAAAACTCATGAGAATGTTGTAAACATCTTTACCATGCCCTTACTTTGCATCCTGGCATCTGGTTATAAAATAAATACATGCCTTGTAGTCCATGATACTGTCGCAAGCTCTGCATCAGAGTGGACAGAGTTCCACTGAGCCCCACTCTCATTCTCTTGTCTTTTCTCAATCCTTAATGGGCCCCACTCAGGTTCACTCTTGGCTGTGCTTATGTGACACAAGATACTATGAATTCAATAACCAGAGGCCTTATGAAATGATGTATCAGCATCAATGGCTCCTCGAGTGTTTTACAATAAAGATGCAAGGCTGAAGTCATTATATTTGCAAGTAGAGGCCTGGTGCATGAAAGTCATGCATGACTTGAGTTGGGGAAGAGTGCTTGTGTCCCTCAGCCCAGCCTGCAATCTGGAACCCCTTGAGGGATGTGTGACTGCACTCTCACAATTCTGGACTACTGGCTCCCAACGACTCACCTGCCTGCCTGCCTGATTGCCCCTAACCACTTCTGCTTGCCTACCTGATCACCCCCTAACTTCTCCCCTGCCAGCCTGATAAATGCCTAACTGCTCTTCTACTGGCCCAACTGCCTCTAAATGCCATCTCCTGCTGGTCTGGTTTCCCCTAACTGCTTTCCCCTGCCAGCCTTGTCTTGCCTAATTTCTCACTTCTGCTACTGATCCCCCACCCCAAATACAGTCCCATGCTGGCATGGTCCCCTCCAATGGCCCTCCTCTACTGGTCCAGTCACCCATATCTGCCCTCTCCTGCAGGGCTAATGGCCCACAGTGACCTCCCCTGCAGGCCTGGGAACCAACCTTCTAACTGTCTTACCCTGCAGGCCTGATGACCCAAAATGTGCCCCCCCTCCCCTAACTTTCCTCCTGTACTAGCCAGGCCGCCCCTAATTTCCCTCCCATTGGCCAGGTCAAACCTAACTTCGTTCCCCTGCTGGCCTCCTCACCCCCAATAGCCCTCCTTACCAGTCTGGTCCCCAGCAACTGCCCTACCCTGCAGGCCCTAGTCTCCCTGAGCTGGCTTCCCCTGCAGAAACCCCGAGAGCAGCGCCTGTGTATTGTATCCCTTGAGTGCTGTCCTCTGCTGGCTTGATCACCCACAACTGATCTCCAAAGCAAGCCTGGGTCCCAAGCCTCCCCTGTATTCCTGGTCACCCCCAATGGCCCACCCCTGCTGGACAACTGTGGCAGCCATCTTGTGACCAGGTGGGGCTGCCATCTTTGACCACATGAAGGTGACCATCTTGTGTGTTGGAGTGATGGTCAATTTGCATATTACGTCTTTATTATATAGGATACTCCAGTTTAGCACAACCAAAGAAGAATAATGACAATTAGGAAAATGTCAGAGTTAGCATAGAATGTGCTTCAAACCTGCGGGCATTTCTTAGATGCTTTCTTTGAGCATGATTTAACCTTAGAAATACATATCTATAATTTCTACATGTATTTGTGGATCTTGAAAACATAAAATTCTAAGACTTCATGAAGGATCACAAACTGAGCAAGTGGTAGCAGTACTGTTGATATCATGAGCCTATGCCCCAGAAGTATTTTTATCTTCCCAGTTTTTCTAAACAGGGATTCCTCATATGCTTATTTTACACTCACAATAAAGTTAACAAATAACAGAAATTTAGTACATAACTAGTTAATGGAAAACTGTTATAAAAATCGTGCACACTACTGTACACAAGGTTTTCTTCAGGCGTATCTATAAGACATAAGGACCAACATCTTACTTAAGTACACGTCCTCTTGCTAGTGAATCTAAGATACCTACCATCATCTAGAGCACATGTGTCAAACACAAGGCCCGCGGGCCAAATCCGTCCCGCCAGGCCTTGCAATGTGGCCCGCACCGCGCTGTCATCACTGCACTCTGCTGCGTTTCCATCACAATGACAGTTTATGACTGTTCAGTAAACCATTCGGCCCGCGATTTAGGCTGGATTTTAGATTTTGGCCCCTTCTCTGATTGAGTTCGACACCCCTAATCTAGAGGAATATTAATAATATGGCCACATATGACCTGTTAAATGAGTTGAAACACACTGGGCCTTTTGAAATCTCCAAGTTATTTTATTTCAAGATGACAACCTTGGAATAGCTGTAGAATGATGTCATTATTAGAGTGAGTATTAACCATTTCTCCTAGTAAGTACAATGTGATTTTACGGATTGCGTAGGTTCCAGTCAGCATTTAGGAAAGTTGTGGGGATTCTGTTTCTGTACCAGTTTAATTATTAGACTCTTCATCTTCACCTTCATTCTTTCCTGAACCTAAGTATGAAATGCAGCCAATAATGAATGCACAGATTAAAAGGACTGCCCGAATCATTACTAGAACTAGAGCCTTGTTTACGATCACATCTATTTTGCCACGAATAGATGGTTCTCTGTCAGGTGGAGGGCCGCTGTCTATACTGCCTCCTGATCCTCGGATGTCACACAGGGGTGGTTTCCATCCGTGCTGACAGTGACAATTTTTCCTATTGTTGCACACCCCTCTGAAATTGCATTTCTTGACATCACAGTCAAAGCTCATGTCTTGATGAAAAGTGCAATTCCTGTTCAAACAGTAACTTCCTGGCCCACAGGTTGCACCATCTATTACATACCCAAGTGGTGGCAGGTCTATGCCAAAGTGGTAATCAAATCCAAAGCATTTTTCTTGCTTAACTAATAGCTGACGAAATGTAGTGTGCTCACCTCCACCAGGTACTTCTTTGACATCACGACAGTGCAAAATTCCACAAAGAACATCATCTGACTCACATGGTTTATATCTTTCTCCCCCATTCTGAAAGTAGCGCCCACAGTTTCCAAAACGGTCACCCCTAACATTTAAGATATCATAGCACACTTTCGGGGCATCTGTTACTTGGTAGCCAAACAGGGCTTGACACTGCATGTCACGGTCACTACAGTTTCCTCTCACACAAACGGATAATGGAGAACACGGGGTTCCATCCTGGATATAAAAGTCATCTGGACAAGTAGCCTTTTTCCCGTCACAGTATTCCAATAGGTCACAAATGCCACCCTTCTCTCTACAAATCCTTCCAGGATGAGCATATCTACAGTTAACACAGCACTCTCCGGTACTGCATTGATTTCCAAGGGTTAGGGCACAATTGGTCTCACAACATTTATTTTCAGCACAGTCTTTCAAGGAGCCACAGTCACATTCTTCGGAACCATCTATGATCTTATTGCCACAACGAGGCGCTACATAAGGAAAATTATTGTATGGTGTCATTGTGTAAGCCAAACATTGATCATAAACATGCATTCGATAGTGGATTGGCGTGTAAGAACAATTGCTGAACATATCGTTAAGACCTAAGTAAGGATTCATGACACAGAAAGTTCTTCGAAAACATTTACAACCAGCTTCATCATGCTTCATGTTAAACATATGACCCAGTGTATGTGCAGCGACACTGGCAGCTAAGAATAGATGAAAATCTTTTACATATACAAACATTGCCCCCCAGTTGGGGTTGCATACTGCATTATCAAAGGCATAATATGTTCTACCACCGATTTTATGTCCTGTAAGAAGTACTGATGTATCATGAGGTATTTTTTTATAATATGCATCATATTTAAAGTAACCATATGCTGCAATAGCTTCATATGTAGTTTTCCAATTCGTTACGTCCTTTGCATCTTTTTTCTCCCATATGATCAAGGCATGTAAGTGGACAACCAGACGATGATGATAATAAATGCTGTGTAATATGCTGTTCATCATCACTACTCTCTCTATTATATCTGTCTTATTGGGCCTGATCCTGAATAATGAGTTACTAACTGTGTAGAAAAGTTTTAAGTCTCTCCTATGGGGCCACCATAAATACACAGGTGCTGCTCTCGGGGTTTCTGCAAACTTTGACTCTTCAAATGCTAGATCTACATCTTCTTTTTGAATCGTACAACGTTCGTCTGCTGTTGATGGTTCTTTTACAAGCAGAGAAATAACATGCTCAAACTTGGTTGAAGCCTCCATAGGCTTGATTTCATAAGTCGAGTCATCCACCTGCAGCATGCCTCGCAGACCCCCATAGCAAGTGTCCAGTGTGCCCATGGACCCAGGAACCTCCTCCAAGTAGCAAAAGTAGTAGCAGTCTCGAGGGATAAAGGGGTAGTCCTCCTGCATGGCACCTTGGTCATTATCAGTGATAACTGGAAAATGTCTCGGCAGGAAGTCCTTCTTCACCTTCATGTGAATCACATGTCTTCTGCCACTGAAGTGAATCCTGTAGGAGAGCTGGTCTCGGACCCCAGCTCCACCCAGCCTGTGGGACACCTTCCTGGGAATCACAATTTCAGAGGAAGTGAAACGCCATCCAGGTAGGGCATGGGAACAACTGACCTGGGACAGGAGTAGCCAGAGGAGGGACAGCCAGAAAGGCCCTGTCAGGTGGGCCTTGGCCCAGGCAGGTGCCATGAACAAGGGAACCTGTGACCATAGAAAGTGCAGGCAAGACTAAAGCTGCAGTGGCATCTATTCCAACAGGAGGACAGCGGAGAGAGGCTGGATGTTTGGCAACTCCAGAGCATGATAGGGGGAGGGGGTAACTATTACATAACAATGGTGCATTCTTTGGGGGAGGCTGTGCTCAGTGATGTAGGGAGCCTGGGCTGAAAGGTTCCCAGGTCTCTTAGAGAAGACTCAGGGGAAGGCTAAGTGTATTTGGGGGTAATTTAAAGACACTTGTTGGCTTTTTTCCTCAAGCCTAGAACATAATAGGTCAACATGACATTAAAATGGAGAATTGTAAGGAGAGTGGAATATTCTCCGTAAAAGAATTTTGAGGAGAGAATTAGATTCTCTCACATTTTATAAAAATCAAATGCAGTTGGACTGAGTGATGGAAAGGAAGTGTAAGTAGATGTCACCAATAGAGAAACCAGGGTGTATAATCATAGTTTCTTGTAGAGTGAAACTCACATTACTCTATGTCCCAAGATTGTACTGCTAGGAAATTACCACTAAGATGTGGGTATGAATATTCATAGGGGCATTATTCATGAGTTTATCCCATCAAATGGAAACAACTACTACTCAACAGACCAATAGATAAACAAAAGGGTATATTTGTCCCATAGAATATTCTCAGCAAATTAGAAGAGACTCCTGATACGTGTAAGAACATGGCTGTGTCTCACAGATATGATGATGATGATGATAGAAAGACAGGAGACCAAGTCAACATAATATATGATTTAAATTTTATAATGTTCTAGAAACCGCCAAAGCCAGTTCTAGCAATAGAATTTAAATCAGTAGTTTCCTGACTTTGGAATGGAGGAGTGGAGAGAACTTTACAGTGATGGAAAACTTGTGTATCTTGACTGGGAAGTGCTGTAGATTAATTATTTGTGTCCCAAATTCACATGTTGATATTGTAAGTGTACCTGGGTTTTGTGAAATGTGAGTAAAATTTAAAATTGTATCAGAAAATAATAAAAGTCTAAAACATGCAGCAGTGGTTGTCTATCAGAACCCACTCAAATCACCAGTTGGGCCCCTACAAAAACCTAACTGATTCTGAAGAATGACTGTAAATTACATCAAGCTCTACACAGCAGAATCTCTTATTGTAGCTGCTGCATCAGATGTGCTGTCATTGCCACTAAGGTGGCCTCAAGTGCATGACATTCAGCCATGGATTTAGTCATAGTGCTAATTTCTATTATGATCTGAAAAAGAGTATCATAAACAACCAGACTCCATGTGGCAAGGATAAATGTCCTTATATTATAGCTTTGCCTCTGCCAGCAAGGGCTATATTCACCCATCCCCCTTACCTTTGTGTTATAATTTTGCACTTTCTTGGTATGCCAAAGCCCTAGATATAGGATTTAAAAACTTAAGGCTAACCTTGATTCATTTCTGCCCTTGCTTTAACTGGGAAAAGTCCAGCTGCAAAGAATCTGTCTGAGATATATGGCCCAATTAGAAATCACTTTTAAGTAATACACATGGTAGGCCTTCCCATGACACACCCACCTTGAGAAGTTTGACGTACACATTGAATTGTCAATGCTATTTAAAAACATTTTAGATGGGCAGACTATTCCCACACTGTGGTTCAAATCTTATTTCACCATTCTGGAGAGAGCATGATAACCAAAGACAAAACCACACAATGTCTAAGTTATCATAGAAGAAATTAAACAGCCCCAAGGAAACAAAAGGTCCTTAACAAATGCTATGCAGATTAGTAAGGATATGAGCCAATATTGAAAAGTGGTGGTGGGAGTAAGGGGAAGAAAAGATGAAAAATCTTGCTGGGTCCACAGTTAACATGCTCTGGTCAACAGGCTGCTGAATCTGAAAATGAATTGCTCTCCTCCTTGGAAGAGAGCCTGGTTTCAACAGTTGCCCATGCATCAGCAAGAAATAACCCTCTTAGTCAGTGGTTATCCAACCTCGATTTTTGGAGAGCCAGTTAACAACTGCAAATGCAGCCCCCCTGTTTGGTAAGGGTATAGAAAATAGGGACTCAGACCCATCTTGAATGAAAGTCCAAATCACTCAATCACATACTAGTAAGCCACCTGCAAGTGCTGGCCATGAGAGCTCTATACAAGATGGACTAATTAATTGCAGTGTGAAAGACTGATTCATTCCTGCTGCATCCCTCCTCCACCATTTGGTGGCTGCCTTCATCTGGACTCAGTATTTGCACAAAGAAACTTGATCTGAAGCTTGAGGCGTCTAAAGGGCACAAATACAACACACTACTTATCAGACTCTGTCCTAGTGCACTATTTCTGAAGTGATTGCTTCCTGTTTCCTTTGACCTAAATGTGTGTCTTTGTACACACATATCAGACAAGGAGTTCTGTTCTGTCATTTATAGGCAGGCTGTGATTAGTCAATTCCTTAGATTTTAATTATGACATACTGTGGATAGCAGCTACAGTGTTTGGACAGGGTCAAGCCTTGGACTAATGAAAGGGCACAGTCCTCTCATGGCCATGTTCAAGTGCCAGCTTGGAGTCAGGGCTCTCCCAGCACAATTATAGGCAACAGCTATAGTTGTAAGCTTGAACCTATGGTTCGAACAGGTTGCCCCACGTGCCTAAGTGATATAGGCTGCAAGGAAACAAAGCTTGATCAGGTGCATGTACTTGAGAAGGATCAAAATTCTCAAGAAGGTTGTAAACATCTTCACCACGCCCTTACTTTGCCTCCTGGCATCTGGTTATAAAATAAAGTCATGCCTTGTAGTCTGTGGTACTATCGCTAGTTCTGCATCAGAAATGACAGTGTCCCACTGAGCTCCAGCTCTCATTCTCTTGTCTGTCTTTTCTCAACCCTTCACCAGCCCCAGTCAGGTTCACTCTTGGTCATGTTGGTATGGCCCAAGATATTATGACTTCAATATCAGAGGCCTTATGAAATGGTATATCAGCATCAATGGCTCCTCAGGTGCAGTTTTGCAATAAAGATGCAAGGCTGAAGTCATTATATTTGCAAGTAGAGGCCTGGTGCATGAAATTTGTACATGGGGATGGGTTGGGAAAGGTGGCTTTGTGTCCCTCAGCCCAGCCTGCCATCTGGGACCCCTTGAGGGATGTTCGATTGCCCTCTCACAATTCAATACTGCTGGCTCCCAAACACTCGCCTGCCAGCCTGCCTGATTGCCCCAACCACTTCTGCCTGTCAGCCTGATCACCCCTAACCTCTCCTCTGCCAACCTCATCAATGCCTAACTGCTCTTCTGCTGGCCTGATTGCCCCGAACTGCACTCTTCTGGTAGCTTGGTTTCTCCTAATTGCCCTCTCCTGCTTGCCTGGTCTCCCCTAACTGCTCTCCCCTGCTGTCCTGGTCGCCCCCAACTGCCCTCCCCTGCAGGCCTAATCCAACCCAACTACCCTCTCATGCTGACCTGGTCACCCCTAATTGCCCTCTTCTGCCAACCCAGTCACCCCTAACTGCCCTTCCCTGCAGGTCTGATCACCCATAACTAACCTCCCATGCAGGCCTGATTGTCCCTAACTGTGCTCTACTGCCGGCTCAATCATCCCTGACTACCCATTGTTGCCAGCCTGGTCGCCCTTAACTGCCCTCCCCTGCCAGGTCAGTTGCCCCAACTCCCCTCCCCACCGGCCTGGTCCCCTCCAACTGCCCACCCCTGTAATCCTTGTCTCCTTTAAGTGATCTCCCCTGCTGGCCTGATCATCCATAACTCACCTCCCATACAGGCCTGGTTGCCCCCAACTGCCTTCCTCTATAGGTTGGATCTTACCAACTACTCTTGCATGCAGGCCAGGGATCCCAATCCCACCCACCCCCACTGTCCTCACCAGTTGGCCAGGTCCCCCCTCACTGCCCTCCCTTGCCAGCTCAGTCATCCCCAACTGCCTACACCTGCAGGTGTGGTCCAGCCCACAACTGCTCTCCCCTGCCAATCTAATCTCCCCTAAGTGTTCTCCTCCTCTGGCCTGATCGCCCATAACAGAATTCCCCAGCAAGCCTGGGTCCGTCCACAACTGTCTTCCCCTGTGTGCCTGGTCACCTCCAACTTCCCTCCCCTGCTGGCCATCTTGTGGCAGCCATCATGTGTCCTCCTGGGGGCGGCCAATTTTGACAGCATGAGGGTGGCCATCTTGTGTGTTGCAGTGGTGGTCAATTTTCATATTAACTCTTTAAAATATAGGATACCCCACGTTGACCACAACCAAAGAAGAATAATGACAATTAGGAAAATGACAGAGTTAGCATAGTAAGTGCTTAAAACCTGTAAGCTGAAAAAAAGATGGCTGCTTGTCCCTGTTTCGCCACAGTTCCCAGCTTGTGAGCCTGATCTCCTTACGCTGGTAAGACTGGAACAGGAGGCCTTGAAAAACCACAGCAGAGGAGACCATCGAGCAGCTGAGACACCCCAATTGGCACAAACGCGTGGATTCAAGGGAGATCTTCAATCATCCACGGAAAGGTCAGACTTTGCGGGAATAGCGTGAGGGATCATGGCCCCGCTGTGCAGGCAGCAACTGCAGCCACCGTGCCCGGCGCCGAGCAGCCCGGAAAGAAGGCTTGGCTGCAGTGAATATCCTGCCTGGGGAGACCCAGTGCCGGGTCTGGGTCTGGTGTAATCTACCCCAGAAGCGGGACTCTTTTAAAACGCCAAGGGACACGGAACAGATTGTTAAGAATTGGGGCAGTCTGACCTGAGCGGACAGGCGGATTCCACAGAAAGGTTGGATTTT